GATTATGCACGAGTTGATATAGTCATATTTGCACACACACACACACCCTGACATTTATATATACTTATATATTTCAGTGACTGTAATTTGTATCAAATATCTACCTATTTACCTCTATTTCAGTATGTACATAGTTAACTGCGTGTATTTCTCGCCTTTATGTATATTCATACGTTCACACATTTATTCACTATATGTATGTACACTCATAGATTTTGGTTCGCAATATACGTATCAGTACATCAATGTTTGTACAAAATACAGAGGCATGTCAGAGAAATGACCCTACTAGTCTTATTCGGATTAAAAGATGGCGCCGCAACCAATTGGCAGTGTGAATCTCCGCATTCCGAGAACTCACACCATCTTAACGTTTACTTATGCTTCTTCTCAGCGGCGGTATTGGCAGCACACATGACGACATCACTTACGACGCAATCGCGAAAACGTTTGGAGTGCAATTAGAATATCACCAACCTACACTGGATTTGATGACGAAATATGTGAAGTCTAAGGGGGCTCAGGACAGTAAATTCTCCGAGGAGCACAAACGCATGGCATACTTTCCGGAGGGAAGCAAGGGTGAGTGACGGACTGCTTGCGCACGCATTCGATACTCGGCTGTTTGATTTAGAAGGGTATGACTCATCGTGCAGTGTGGGTTTTCGTATGTATGTATCCCACTGGAACTAATGCTTGTAGTTTGTACTGCTGTATGTCTGTAGCTGTTCGCGGCTGTACATAGCATACATAATATTTGGTCTCCTATTTATGTATCTGTCATTGGATAAGACTCTTAGAGTATAAATACACTTCAGCTTGTTATCAGGAATGCATAAAATGTACAAAGCGATTGTTTACGGCTCTCGAACCTCGGTGTAATTAATTTTCTTGGACTTAAGAACGAACAACCGCTGGACTTTATCCTCAGTCCATCAAACGGGCGATCTATGGGTCCCCCTGGTGGTGACCAAAAATGTGCACATACTCCCAGGTGTGCCCATTTTATTCTCTCGTCTGTTAGAGCTACACGGGGCTCTGTTCCAACAAGATGTCAGGCTGACTACGGAGAATCTATGGTATGTCGGGCCGTGCACACACTTTAGTGTACCAGTGACAGTCCTTTAGCTAAGTAGAAGTTGGTTCAAATGCGTGCGCACTCAAGCATTCGATGTCGGGTATGCTCCGATGGTCGTCTATGGCAACAAAATTGTGGGCAGTAAATCCCGCCCCGAGACGCGACAAATCTCGTCTGTTGGGATCGCGACATCCCGTCTCAGTCATTGCGCAGCACCGGGTGCTATCTGGGATACATTGATCCATGTACTTCTACCGCACTATACCTGCTGTGCTCGCGTACAAACTTGTAGTATATTAGGTTTAAAACTAGTTTGTGTGCAACCAAGCTCTGTCTTATGCGCGGTCTACTCAGGCCCCTGTTTTCTCTGCTTGCAACACCAGAAGGGAGAGTTTTTTTTTGGGAGCACCTATTTTTCAAAGCTGTTTGCTGTGCCCCGATACAGTCGAACATTTCCTCAGTACATAAATCTGGTACTATTTGTGTTGATCATTGCAGGAGCACGGAGCGGGAAAGTGACCTAGCAGCTGCACTGGGCCTAGTACAGGGCAATAATCCAGGAGTGACTGTGGGGTCGTATCCGAGGTTCACCGAGAAGGGGATACAGGGAGTGCTATTGAGTTTTGAAGGTGAAGATCCAGAAGCAGTGAAACAGGCTGTGACGGAAGCAAGGGCTTCTATAAAGTGCGAGGATACAATTCCGGCCAAGCACATAACTAATTGATGAGAGGTTGTACAACTGTAAAATCTAACCATTTGTAATATGTTCCTGTATAGTACCCTTTGACACTAGAGGTTTTAACGTACAACTCAGTTTATTCGTTTCTAATCATTTGTAATATGTTCCTGTATAGTTACTCTTTGGCTCTAAGGGTTTTAACGTGCAACTCGTTTTATCTGGTTCTAACAAATTCTTAGGTGTTAAGTATAGACAGTACAATATTAGACATTCCAGCGATAACAGGACAACACCGTTCATATTTATACGTTCGCGAGCATGTTGAACATCTTCTATCAGAATATCTGTTGAGGTATTGCGATCCGATGGGCATATTCAGCCCAATGGCCATCATACATTTGTGCATATCTTTCGGCGCCGTAATTCCCGTATGGTATAGTGCGCATGCCCAATATAAATGTGTGCAACCAATGTTTTGAGTTATTTGATAGAATTTTGTTGTATATAATTTGTACATCTTGCATTGTGCATACAAATATAAAAATAGAAGAACGAGAGCGTTTTTGAATATTTGCTCGAAATTTCACGAGTTAAATCTTTAATGGCATGAAAAAAATACATGCGTGTGTATGCGTGCATACGTGTACGTTTATGTAGGCCTAAATACATACACACACACACACATATATATATATATATATATGTATATATATATTTATTCCATCTATATACATCTACATATATATATATATATATTATACATACATACATACATATATATATATATACATATATACATACATATATTTATTTAAATATAT